GGCTATATACCTATCTACATTTCATTATATGGGCTACACTGACCTTGTATGGGTCTACATTACACTATAGGCATCTACACAGATCTTATATGAGTCTACACTGCATTATATGGTCCTACACTGACCTTGTATGAGTCTACACTGCATTATAAGAGTCTACGTTGACAATGTATGGGCCTACACTAACCACATATGAGTCTATACTGCATTGTATGGGTCTACAGGAGTCTACACTGCATGGTATGAATCTACACGACAATAAATGGTCTACGCTGACTATATTTGGGTTTACATTGACCTTATATAAGTCCATTCTGCATCATAGGAGTCTGCACTGACCATATAATACAATATCGAAGCCCTGAATTCATTTGCCTCTTCTCTTCCCAAATCATTTGCTTTTGCAAAACAGGAAAAAAAATAGAGAAGACAGCGAGTAAACATAACAATGCCTCAATCCTATAGGGCTATCGCATGGCAAAAATCATATCGTTTGAAAGTTGTTGAAAGCAGGAAAAGGGATATTATGAGTTCTAAACATGATTTGTGGACAATACATTGGTTTTGTGCTGTCTCTGGCTTTCTTTCGGAAAATCCCATGTGTCTTGGGAGGTTTTCTAAAGCAAGGGATACTTCTGGAATGGGTTGGGGTTGGCTTTTTTTTGCATTTGCCATCAAATAAATCCCCCCCAAATGAGTATTTTACACACAAAAGAGTTTAATTCTCAGAAGTTGGGATTTTGTGAGAACTTATAAAGACTCCCCTCCACCGAAATATCCTCCACCGAAATATCCCCATGTTTGGTGCCTTTCCTAGGGTTTTCTTTAGACACTTCCTGTGTATTTTTAATGATGGGCTCCCAAGAAATCTGTCCCATTTGTGTTTAGTACCGTTTCCAGAAAGATTTTAACGCGCTTTTCATAATAATAATAATAATAATAATAATAATAATAATAATAATAATAATAGTAATAATAATCTGACCGGTGGTTTCTAGGTTTGTTTTTCTCACTGTCTGCAAAACAGCTCTAAAAACTAAGGACCAAGGGAAAAGGAAGGAAGGAAGGAGAGAAAGAAAGAAGGAAGGAAAGGAAGGAAGGAAGGAAAGGGAGAAGGAATGAATGAATGAAAGAAAAAAAGGAAGTTAGAAAAAGAATGATAGGAAAAAGGGAGAAAAGAAGGAAGAAATGAAGGAAAGAAAGGRAATGAAGGAGAAATAATAATAATAATAATAATAATAATAATAATAATAATAATAATAATAATAAYAACAACAAMTTTATTTTTGCATTCCTCCACCATCTCCCTGAAGGGATTCAGGGCGGCTTACATGGGGAAAGGAGGAAAAGAAAGAAAGAAAGAAAGAAAGAAAGAAAGAAAGGAAAAGAGGAAGGAAGAAAGGAAAGAACGAAAAGAAAAGAGGGAAGGAAGAAAAGAAAGGAAAAGAGGGAGAAAAGAAGGAAGGAAAGAATGTATGAAAGGAAAAGAGGAAGGAAGGAAAGAAAGAACAAAAGAAAAAGAGGGAGAAAAGAAGAAAGGAAGAAAAGAAAGAAAAGAAAAGAGAGAGGAAGGAGGGAAAGAAGAAAGGAAAGGAAGGAAGGGAAAAGAGGAAGGGAGGAAGAAAAGAAAGAAAGAAAGAATGAAGAGAAAAGAGGAAAGAAAGAACAGAAGAAAGAACAGAAGAAAAGTAGGAGAAAGGAAAGGAAGGAAAATGTATTTATTATTTATTTGCGGTATTGTATACTGCTCTTTTCAACACCCGAAGGAGACCCAGGGTGGTTAACAGTGGAAAAGGAAGGAAGGAAGAAAGGCCATGTATGGCCATGTTCCAGAAGGAAGGAACGAAAAAAGGGAGAAAGGAAGGAGGGAAAGAGAGGAAAGGGGGGAGGAAGATAGGAAGGGAGGAAAGAAAAGAGGGGGAGAAAGGAAGGAAAATGTATTTATTATTTATTTGTGGTATTTGTATACTGCTCTTTTCAGCTCCGAAAGGGGACTCAGAGCAGTTCACAGTGCAAAAGAAAGGAAGAAAAGGGGGAAAAAAGAAAGTATGAAATGAAGGAACTAACGAAAAGAGGGAGAAAAGGAGGAAGGAAGGAAGAAAAGAGAGGAAAAGGGGGAGAAAGGAAGGAAGAAAAGAAAAAAGAAAGAAAAGATGGAATGAAAAGAGGGAGAAAAAGAAGGAAGGAAGGAAGAAAAAGAGGTAGGAAGAAAGCAAGAAAAGAAAAAAGGAAGAAGAGATGGATGGATGAAAGGAAGGAAATGAGGGAGGAAGGAAGGAAGGAAAGAAAGAAAGAGGAAAAGAGGGGGAAAGAAGGAAGAAAAAGAAGGAGGAAGGAAGGAAGGAAGAAAAGAAAGAAGGAAAAGTGCAAAAAACGCAGGAAAGAAAGAAAGAAAGAAAGAAAGAAAGAAAGGAAAAGAAGGAGGGAGGGAGGAAGGAAGAAAGAAAGAAAGAGAGAGAGAGGAAAAGAGGGGGAAGAGAAGGAAGAAAAGAAGGAAGGGAGGAAGGAAGAAAAGAAAAAAGAAAGAAGAGATGGATGGAAGGAAAGAAATGAGGGAGAAAGGACGGAAGGAAGGAAAGAAAGAAAGAGAGGAAAAGGGGGGGAGGAAGGAAGAAAAAGAAGGAGGAAGGAAGAAAAGAAGGAAGGAAAAGAGCAAGGAAGGAAGGAAAGAAGGAAAGTAGGAAAATAAGTTTAAAAGTAAGGACAAAAAGGGACAAAAGCGGATCAGAACTGAAGGGAAAGTCACTTCAGAAGGAGAGAGGGAAACAACCGAAGCGAAAGCGGTGTGTTGATTCCTCCTACCCAGGAGTAACGCCTCGGTTTCAATGGGATTTCCGTCGAAGGCGGAATGCCGTCCAAATCTCTTTCTCCTGAGTCTCCATAACGTCTATCATCCAGCAAGGCATGTGTCAAAGAGAGAGAAAGGCAGGAAATGGTGTCTTTTTGCCTGTTGTCTTTGGAGGACACAATAAGGTTG